GAGCGAGGGGGGGGAGCAACACTGAGGGTTGCGATCCGTTGCCGGACATGGAAAAAAAGACAAAAGACAAAAAAAAAAAAATTTTTTTTAAAAATATATTTTATTTAACCCAATATGTCCAACACAAATCATTTAAAATGTAATTAAAATTCATAGGACATTTTGCATTGTTTTTGTACTAAGACTTTGACATTTTCTTTTGGTAGCTTTATTGAGGTATAATTGATATCCCCGGAGTGGTGTTATAGCCTCCTCACTGACCTGCCTGCTTATGCCTTTGCCTCCTATACTTCATTCTCCACAAAGAAGCCCAAAGAAGTCTAAATCAGTCTTGCCAATACCCTTCTCAGATCCTTCCAGTGGCTTCTCATCTCATTCAGAGTAACAGCTAAAAGCTTTATGTCACCTATTAAGCCCATCGTGTTGGTTCCTTGCTGGTTTTCTGGTCTATCTACTGTTACTTTTCACCTACTTATCTCCTCCATTACTTTGGCTTCTTTGCTTTCCAAACCTTTCAAACATGCTCCCACATCAGGGCCTTTGTGCTGGTTTGCCTGGAATACTCTTTACCCAGATACTTCTGTATCTTATTCCCTGAGGCCTTCAGGCCACTGCTTGAATAACACCCTGTCAGTGAGGTCTCTCTTACTAGGGTACAACACTGCCTACCTTCCTTTCCTGCTTAATTTTTCCTGTATGGCACTTATCTCCATCAAGCATACTTTATATTTTATTTGTTGTTTGGAACTTACACCAAACTGGTAGCTTCCTAAGAGTAAGGATTGTTCGTTCCTGTTCACTGCTAAATCCCTATTTCCTAGAATTTGGTATATAATATCTACTTGGTAAATATTTGTTTAATTAATATGGACAACCTTATATTTCTAACTCGGTATTCTGGGGCAACTATGCATCTCTATTTGCATGAAATAAAATGACAGCCACATTAAAATTATTCTGGATGTCACTTAAAAGCTCTAGTACCAACATCCTGAACTATTGATCTAGATGAGTTTTTTCTAAAGTAGTGCTTTTTGGAGTTTTACATCCCCCACCCCCCTTTAGTTTTTTACCCTCTGGATGCTCCTTCAGGATTCCATAGTTTGTTAAATTTAAGAAATTGTGTCAGTTTTCCACTGGAGAATTCACAACACATATTATCATATCAAAGGCCATGAGTACTTTTGAATTAAAGAAATCTTTAACTTTAATTTAAAATTTCCCATACTTAATTGATGATCAAATTGAAGAAACCAGAAATTGTATGATGCATTCTAATTTTGGACATGTTTTAAAAACGTGGGGAATAAAAAGTCTTCAAATTGATGAAATACACTATAATGATATTCTGAAACACACATTTGGGAACTGAAATTTATTTTATCAAGGGGTTACACATATACAGACCTAAATATTTATATAATATTTATAATAATGCTATTCTAATATTAAATATTTCATTTTTTTAAACAGCTGACATGAATTCTTCCAAATCAGTTGGCAGTGATGCACCCTTTGTTGTAAAAGTGGTAAGAAAATTTTAGCTAATTTTTTTCTTTTCTGTTTATTTAATGTATTTATTTTGTAAAACATCTTTTTTTGATAACTAGAATTAATTAAACCATAGGCATTACATTTTTAATAGTTTCATAAATATTTAATGAGACACAAAAGTAGCTTTATAGTTTTAAATAACTTGAGTTCAAAAAGTCCCTCTCTCTTTTGAATTAGAATGGCACTGGTATTTGGGGACAAATGAATGAAAGCATAGTGGTATGTAGATGTGGAATAAAAATATTCATCTTTTTATTTCAGCTATTTACAGGTGCTTTTTATATTTATATCCTACAAGAGTATATTAGTTTAATGTAATTTTATTGTATTTTATTTTTCATTTGCTTCTGGACTTTTACTTAGTCATATTTGTCTTTTTGTTTATTCCCATTTTTTTTCTCTTCCCCTTCCATTTTTGTAAATTGAATTATTTATTTAATTATGATTATTGGACCTTCTTTGCTATACTAATGTTGAAATTAGTTTGTAATGTGTAAAGGTTGGCAACATCCCATCTGACATAAGCATACTTTGAATAGCCAGGTCAATTTATATATTGGTGAATTAAGATATATCAACTACTATTTTATTTTGCTTTTTAATCAAATATATATGTTCTTCCTTACCAACATTTGTAACTCCCCCGAAGTTCTTTGATACTTGTGAAGAACATGTTTTTGTTAAATAGAAGAACTAACAGGATGTGCTAATTTGGGCAAATTAACACATAACTCCTCCCTGCAAAGGCTACAAAACCCTGGAATTAGAATTACCCCAAAGTTTTTATTTTGTATTACTCTTTTTCAGAAAGAAATATATTTGACCCCTTAGGAGCCAACTTTTTGAATTTGAATTGATTGTGATTTTTTTCAACTTAAAAAAAAATTTATTGAGGCATTATTTTTACAGAGAAGTACATATATTAGGTATTAAATAAGCAGTTTGACAACTTTTGACAGGTGCACATACCTGTGTGATCCTCACCTCTTTTAAAATATAGAAAATTTCATGTTCCCAAAAAGATTCCTTATGTCTTTTTCCACTCAGTCCCCTTCTTTCCCATACCATTGGAGGCAACCACTTGTCTAAAAGAGTTATTTGTTTATTTTTAAATACCGTGGATTAGTTATTCCTATTCTAGAAAGTTGCATAGGTGGTATTATATACAGTATTTAATTTTGTCTCTGACTTCTTAAAATCAACATAATGTTTTAAGTGTTCAACTGTACTGTTGATGTATCAATCATTTGTTCCATTTTATTGCTCTGTTGATAGACATTTGAGCGTTTCCAGTTTTTGGCTATTATGAAAAAATCTTTTATAAACATTCTTGTACAGATGTTTTTGTAGGATATATGCTTTTATTTCTCTTGGATAAATACCTAGAAGTAGAATTGCTGGTTTATAGGGAAGCTGTATATTTAAATTTATGAGAAAGTACCAGCCAGATTTCCAAAGTAGTTGTGTCATTTTACACATTGACCAGTAATATATGAGAGTTCTGGTTGCTCCATGTCCTCCCCACTATTTGGCATTGTGAGATTTGTTTGTTTTTTTCGCCATTATAGTGAGTGTGTAGTAGTGTCTCATTGTAGTTTCAATTTGCATTTACTTGATGACTTAAAGATTTCGATCACTTCTTCATTGTGCTTACTGGCCATTCACATATTTTCCTTTGTGTAGTACCTCCTCAGTCTTTTGCTCACTCCCCCCCCACCACCATTTTTTTTTTTTTTAAATAACTGGGTTGTTTTCCTTTTTATAGTTGAGTAGTAAGAGAGTTATTCTGTATACGA